ACGCCTGGGCCACAAGGACCAACGAACCGTGACTAACATATACTAACATATCGGGTCTTCACTCATGTTGTTGTACGGGTGAGAGTGAGAGAGTGAATGGAGGTGTTAGGTGTTTGTTTCTTTTTTCCCAAGATCAACACGTGCGCCAAAGGGGGTTGCCATACACCATCATAAACCTCAAACCCCAAGGGGTGCCCAATCGTATTTACCTTAAAAGGGATGCCCACTACTATCGTCAAACCCTCATGGTGCTCGCGGTTGTGCTCCACAGGGTCGGCGGCGCGGGATTTGGTCGTCTTTTGAACACCTGCAAATGTCACGGCTTTAGAAGAAGCATGTTTGTAGGGCCTCCCCCTAATAGCAATGGCCTGCAACATAGCAATAGCTTTATTTAGCACGGAATCCACACATGGAATCCACACACCATGTAGCATGTTGTGTTGTCACGCTGTGTTTTGGAGGCCACGACTCAAGGACTCTCCTGTGTGCAAGTAGACAGTAGCATTTTTGGTCAGTTCTTGCTCAAGCATGGCCATGTTGGGTCTTGGTGAAATCAGCCCAGCGATGTCAATCCGATGCGGGGAAAAGAGCCTTCCGAGGATGGCGTACATGGCCTGTTTTTTTGGTTGGACACACACACACACACACACTTGCATTCGTGTACCAGTGCAAGCAATCTCTCTGAGTAACTGCTGCAACCCTCGACTCAATAAACTGCATGTTTTTATTATCCACCTATAGCTAAAGCTGGGGATTCGGCCCAAGAGTCTTTTCAGGCAGGATACTTACACTCCGTTCCACTTGAAAGTGAAAAACGCTTTGCGGAGGCAGATTGTCATTGCCACCTTTTCCCACTAACGCAAGGCCACTCGGGGAGTCCTGCAAAACTTCGGGACACAAATCGACCTGATTCATTGGAATGTTCGGATGCTGCATAGCGCGACTGAGCCCTTCAAAGTTTCTGTCAAGAGCAAATGGGCATTCGAATCAACTCATGTGCCGATCATTCGGTCCTTCATCCCGGTCCAGCGAACCCCGCGCTGGGCTTCGTCCGTTCATGTCCAAGCGCAGCCGAGCAGCGTGTGGTGGAGACCGGACTATCGACTGGTTGTTTGACAGACCATGTTCCGACGTGGTCAAACCAGGTTCCATGTTAATCTTCCCCATGCATGTAGACTCTCTTGATGACTCTGACTCTTGATATAAACAAAAACACATGGAAGAGGTCAAGACCAATCCAAATGGGGGCGGGTTCAATTACATGGGGACGGGGCAAAGCTGGATACCGGTGGCGGGTTTTGCCTATACCTGGTCGGAAAGCGCCTTGTTTTGACCACGCAGCAAGCCAAGGGTGGACAACCACTCACCAGGGATCACGCGGGAGAGAACAAGAATAGCTAAGGGAGTGCTGAAATCAGCCACTGACCACAATGGCGGATGGTAAGGGATCCCTACGAGGGATGTTGTGAACCCACTGTGTACTGAACCCACTGTTTTGTTTTGTTGTTTTAGCACTCCCAAAAGGTATTTCAGACTGCAAGGTTGGTTGTTTTGTTATGTTTCGTTGTTAGCAAGTTGTTGTCAAGTCTCCCACAGTCTCCGTGTATTTGGTCTTCAAGTGGCGTGGCCAGGTGGCGAGATGAGGGGCGGTTTCACGAGATTCGCAGGGCAAGGCACGCCAACATGGTTTAATGTGGCAACATGTAACAACTCGAACCTATGTAACAAACATATATATTAAACATAGAATGGAAAAAAAAAAACAAAATTCTTGACTTTGGACTCTGGACGCACAAGACAACTACTCAGAAGCATTTGAAGAGGCGGTGGGATCCAGCTTCTTCTCGTTTAAAAAAGAACCCAGAATCAGAAACAGCATCTTGTTCGATCACCCACAAAGTTAGCAGCAATTGCCAGACGATCAGCCTCTACCAGTTTTCCGGAGTTTTCACACATTGTTCGATAAGGAGTTATTCCCCAAAAAAAGGTGAGGACAAAAATGCCGGTGATTCCGGCCAGCTGGGTATCTTCATTGCAGCCCATTTCCTCTTTGTTGCAAAGCAGCATGTGAAAGAGCCTTGCGTTTGCTCTCCTCTAAGAGGATCTTTGAAACAATGCCAATTAGTTGCCGGCTCCCTTCGGGACGCTCCCTTCAGGACTTCCCGCGGTCGAACCGAGCGAAATTGATTGACCGAGCGAACCGGGATCTCTTCTGTTGAAGAGGGAAGACTGCGAAGGCGGTTCCGCCACGCCGCGTCGGACCAATTATGACCAATTGACGAGTTTGTCACGTGATTTTCTCGGAAATAGGCATGGAAGATATAGGTTCGTTAGTCAGGAAACCTTCAAGTCTGTGGTAGGTGCAATACTGAAAGAAATCAGAGAAGCTACCAGCTGGCTGCACCCTCCAACGCAATTCATTGTGGAATCATCATCACAACAATTTAGTTTTGACATGCTTTGACACTATTGTTAAGACATGTTAAAACACAAATCTGAGATTTACGTAGCTAATCACCAAGCTTGGATTGCAGCTGCATGTTGAACATGTCATAGCTGCATAGCTCCTGCAAATAGTTGCAGCTCGCTGCACAGACAAAGGCCGTGATTGATTCTCCGCACCAAAGACTTGTAATGGTGAAAGGATACAATATCAATATTCCTTCAAGCTTTAGCTGTTGAGGTTTAACGGCACCAGTGACGGTAAACAAATCGCCGACATGTGGCTGATGCAGTCTTCCATCCAGAGGTTCAGTTTTGTAATTCCAGTGGTCAAGAACACGAGCTGCCAACCTCAGACTTCAGGGTGGAGCAGTTACTCACACTCTCCATTGGCAGCCTAATGCAGCAAACAACTCCTATGCTATACGCTGGCACCTGACCCAAAACTGCCTGAGAATCAGGGCTATGTACTTGTATTTGCATCAATATTCAAGACAGTTCAAGTTGTCCTAGTGGTTACGTCCCACTGACACATCCTTTTTGCAATGCCTTTCGGCAACTCATGACACCTCCTTTGTAAAGAAGGCCTAGCTTCGGCTAGAGGACTATCAAGTGCTTGTGGGAGGAGGTAGAACCCTGACCCAGTGCTGCTGAAGACTCACCAGTCGGCTCACCAGTGCTGCTGCAATCATGTAGCTGCAATCTGAAGAATGACCAGCAGCTCTCTCTCTATATATATATATATAAATGATTATCATGATGACCAAGTAGTTTAGCAGGGTCTCTCTATATATATATAGAGAGACACTATGTTACATAACGAAAGACCCCTCCGGGTGGTAGGCTTGCGTGGTCTGGATTGATCTATAAGTAATTGATCTTCGGACCACGCACTGGCGTATGATTTGATGGAATGTTTGTACCCAGAGCCTAGGTGCGTATAGTGTGTATATAGGTTTTGGTCTCGGGTTCCATTTGTGTTGTGGATGGCCTCATACTGCAGGCATTTTGTGAGGTTCTTGACCGAACTGGAATCTCCATTCAGATGGGACCAGGTCTTCCAGCATGCGCGTTTTGTGCTGTTTTTAAGCATTTCACAGCGTATCTACCTACATGATGCATTTGGGTTTCTACGGATGTTTGCCCTCCTGAACATGAGAGAGGACTGTTGGGAGCGAAAATAGGAAGACCTTCATTTGGATCCTAAGAGCTTCTTTCGGTTCTTTGTCTGTGGACACTGAACCTTCTCGTCGCGTTCACGACTTCCCCTTTGTCGACTTCCCGACTCGACCTTCCTCGACGATCGGTCGGTTTGTGCCACTTCTTCCGCAAGGTTGGGAGCCAAGGACTCGAGCCAAGGGGTGAGTAGAAGACATCGCCTTCAGAGAATCCTAGACACTCCATGCATGCCATGTATGCCTACCTTGACCCACGAAACCACCCCAATGTAGGCATATATGATATATGGCATACATGGAGCGTCTGGGAATATACAGAGTTTGAACGAACCCCCCAGACGGGCTCCAGTCGTACCGAACCTCAACGAAGGTACTGGACCCGACTGGCCCCCACCCCCAGTCCCAGCCGTCTTCCAAGGTCGTCTCCGGAGCCAGGAGACTGGCCGAGACTGGCCGAGTCTGGCCGAGTCCGGCCGAGTTATTCCTAGTAGCTTCTTGTTACTACTATAGTAAGGCACTTGTTACTAGAAGCGATGCACTTGTTCCTCGTAGTTTATTGTTTATTAGCCTCATATATCCCACTTCCTGCAGTTCGTGGACCGAACTTCCCAGACTGAGACGCAGACGGACGACCGCAGCGGGTCGCACCGCCGAAGCACCGATTTTGCGCCTCCCAAACCCGCCGCCGAGAGGGCGGTCGTTTTCTTTCGAAGAACATGGGATCCAGACATAGATTGGTCGCATCCTTTTTCTGGATCCTGCATGGATTCTGCGGATTGATCATGTGAAGAGACTGGAGAGACTGGATCCATCCCTCCACCGGGTATCTGGGACCTGGATCCACTGGACGATTAGTTCATCAGGGCGTTTTCCACCCAGTGAAACTGGGGAAGGCAATCCTGTATATAGCATTGCCAGTGCGGCAGTCATGAGAGTCAGAAGAAAATGGATGCGCAAGGTGAGTGGTGAACTCGGCAACCAATGCTTGAGATGAAGAGTTGGCACGGTGAGCCAGGAGTTTGCAAAACTTTTGAGACAAACCCATTTGAGCATATCTGAGCAGATAGAGATTTAAATGTGTGTTATACCGAGATTCGAGATGATTCGAGCGTGGCCCGTCCTATGGTTGGAGAACAAATGGCCCTGTAACGCTCTGTCAGAGAGAGCTGGAATGACGCTTGACGTGAATTGGCTGTAGTCGACAACCTTCACAGATACCCGACATACCTGCGCATACCTGGTTCAGCCTGGTTCTTGCAGTTGTTTTTCTTTATCCCCTGGTCACCATGAAGTCGGTCCTGAAGTGCAGTGTCACTATGAAGTCAGTCCTGAAGTGCAGAGGACTTCAGAAGACTTGGTATTTGTCATCCATTCTAACTCAGCATTTGCCAGCTCAACTGATCTTGCTTCTGCAATTTCGCTTGAGCTGCAACCAGCTGCAAGCAGCATGTCGAAGGTGAAGGGCCTGGCTGAGGCCGGCGCTGTGGCCCCGTTGCTGGGTGCCGTGAGACTGAAACCATGAAATGAGGCATCCCCAGAAAAGAGAGATGCAGCTTCCGAGTTTGCATGTTTGTCAGATGTAGACTGAGGATCACTGCGGGCTTAGGTTTCATATGGTTTCATGTTCGCTTGGACAGTTCCCAATGTCAGGTGGCTGAGTGGGGTGTGCTGGTGAAGACTGCCTTGCTGGATGCCTGTGCTTGGTATCAGGAGAGAGTCTTGTCGAGACTGAATCCCGGAAACTTAACATGTAATGTAGACTCTGGGTCAATAAAACCCCTTCATATGAAGGGTGCAATCCAAACTAAGTGGGGTTTATGAATCAAGAGTCTACATATGTCTATAGTCTATATATACATATTAGCCCGGAATCTTCGAACATCTCGCAAGATGATGTTCCTAATTACTCTGTCAGTTTAAAGTGACATGTGCCTGGAACAGAGCCAGTCTGCTCTGTTCCATTTTTGTCAGATCAACTGAGCAGCGCCATGGAGGCACACATTCGGTCCGGTCGCCTCCATTCGGTCCGGTCGCCGCGTGGCCAGGACGTGAACATGACCATTGGCCTTGGGGCCCTCGTAGTCCTATCAATCTTGGTGAGCATCATGGCCATGGTCTCCAAGGACGGCAAGAGATTACAAAAGCATAGGAAAGCTGTCATGTGGCATTGAATGTATCCAAGCATGAACTTGTGCACCGTCCAATCTATTGAGGTTCAATTTGTCCATCGACCACCAATGAAGACTGACTTCAAAGTGTTCAGAAAACTTGCGACAAACTCATGAAATCTGCTTGACATGATCTGGATGTGAAGTGACTCCTTACAGGTCTCGGAGACGCCCAGCGAGCGGTTCTTGCGGCGGTGGGAAGCCCAACGCCAGAAGCGCGAGAGTGGGATCATAGGCTGGGAGTGTGGACACGGAACTATGATGGCAGCATTTGGGTACGGGTGTGGGAGACATGGAGCAGATGCAAAAGCGGCGAGATGGCTTTGACAGAGATGGCTTATATAGGTTCACACACAATGCCCATAAAGGTTTGGGTGATCCTTCGAGAATCCAGACTCCGCAGGAACAGGTTTTGGATGAAATACAGCTATAGTTGCTCTTGAGAAATGCCCAACCCTGCTCAGAAGAAGACTTGCTCTACGAATTCAGCGCCCTTCGGAGTGAAACTCCCTGGTGGCGTTTTGCACGACTTGTTGTTCTTTCTCGGGGTCTCGGCGCGCGCACGAGTCGGTCGGCTGCCCATCGCACCGTGTTTGCCATCGCACGACCGCTCGATCGCGGCACCGATCGGCCTGGCGTGGCGGCCGGGTGCGCGGGCAGGGCCGGAGTTTGCGAAGATGCGATCGAAGACGGTGACCTACGAAGACGTCGAAGACACCGAGTCCTGGTGGCGATAGCTGTGGCGAGAGCGAGGTGAAGCGGCGACGGAATGGGGCGATCCGATTTGAAGGATCCGGCCCACTGAAAATATCTTAAAACACCATGTCAATACAGAACATACCAATTGACAATTGACCTAATAATATACTAGTATCCTAGAAATTGTTTCTATGTTTGCGGATTGGTACGTTGCAATTGTGTATACTACAGTATGTGTATGTTGATGTTGATGTATTTTGTATTTTGTTTGATTCTTCGAGGTGGGTGTACTAGAAGTGCCTTTTGACATGTTCTTGCTGGTTTGTTTTTATATTTTAGGTATGCAGAATCTCAGCGTATCATGGTTATAAGCTTGGCCTAAGATTCCCCAGGTCGGCATCACCAGATTGCTAAGTCCAGATATGAATCCTTTGCTGTAACCTTCAGATTGTTTATTCATTCCCCTTGACCAACCGACTTCTTGGGATTTCTTAGACCAAACTTCAGCTGGCTACCTATGTGATCAGACATGTTGTCACGTTCTTTGCACACAACAATCCTCCAAAAATCACTACGAGGACGGCTTGGACCCGGACTGCTTCCGTTTCGCCACTTGGTTTGGGATGCTGTTGGTGATGCTGTGAGGTCGACGCGTCGTGTCGGAGGTTATTTCAGTCCTTTCCAATCCATTAAGAACGAACGATTGACGTATTTTATTTATGTGTATACTAGTAGCAGCATTTCTACCACCATGCTACTATATAAGTACTACTCCTAGACAATATACAAGTGATGCATGTAATTAAATGTAAATGTATTATCGCGTAACGCTTGTTTTGTCATACGGCGGGAGTGCTCCCGACTGGATTGTTTGACAGCGACATTGCTTTGTAAGACAGATCTTATTTGCGGCTGACAGTCGGATACCGTGTTTAATGCAAAAAGAACTGACATGGATTGTAGAACCTCCTCATATGGGGAGTTGACATATAATAAAGAGTCTACATTACCTCAATACGTGATTCTTTGTATTTGTATGTGCTTGATCGTGACACGGAGGTCGAAGAGTGGCCAGACAATTTGGAGAACTGTTTAAAGTCCGACACCGCCTTGGTGCAAATGGTTCAAATCCCCATGTAAAGCGGATGATGCAGACTCAAGAACTCAAGATATGATATTATATATATATATATACAATTACTGTATATACCTAGTTGAAACAGGCACAATAGAAGTTTGTTGGCTAAATTTACTTGGTGTTCACAATCAAGTGCACCTGCCCATGAATGGATGACAATGCAACACCTGTGCTGTCGTGTTTGTCCGAGGAAGCAAAGGGATATCCAGACGAGGAGAGCCATACACTTCATCCTCCTAGCCCGGCTAAGAACAGCCGTGCAGGCCGCATCTTGTTGGTGACAATGGAAACGTGCGGACCAGATTCTATGTCCAAAAGAAGAGTAGTAGCTGGTCAAACATTGATGTGAGCACTGGTCCATATGCTACTCCCGTTAAGTGCTGATGGACATGAGCTTGTGTCAATGGTTATACTCACCTGTCCAAAGGCAATGCCCTTCTCAGGGAGCACACCGTTTTGAACGTTCGTTTATTGCTTGGGGCATCATTTCTGGTGCCGCGTGTCCCACATCCAAGGCATCTTTCAGCAGCACCGCTTCATGACCATCCGCGTTGGAAGGCCCCAGTCATTTGGGCCATTCCAAGGCAGTCAGGGGTAGGTGTCACACTTACACTTGGCTGATGGGAGCACATCGGAGCACTAAAGCTCTTCCCCAGACTGATACCATGGGTATCCATGGGTATAATTTTGAGCCCAGACCAGGGACCCCCGGTTTGGGGTGGTTGACGGACACCGGTTTAACCTCTAAGGGCTAAGAGGCTGTTGTTAGACACTCCTTGGGGGGGCCCTGATATGGTCTATATATAGCGTGTTGTGTTGCAGTATGCAATCAATCATTTGGGTGTATGTTTTAGTAAACTTGCTTGGGATCAACTTGGTGTCCCCAATCGAGGTCCGAATCACGGCAGGGCCATGCCGCGACTGGATACCACATACATCCACATACTGTATATGTTGTTTCTACTTGCGGCTGAACAAACTATAGCATCACTCTTGTTCAGTCAAGAAACGATGCTGATCGATGCATAATTATCTATATATTGTCACGCACAGATGGCATTGGAGCCCAATGTTCCCTGGTTGCTTGGCGTGGGTCTTGTGGTTTGGCAAATTGGGGCAGCCTCGCCGTCTTCTACGCACAGGCAGTGACATGTCCGAAAAGATCTCGGACCAACTGAACAACCACACTCAAAGAAAACAATTGTTGAGTGAATCGGACGGATGAATTCGACTCACCAGCGACCGCCCAAGCAATCAACATAGACAAGTTGGTGATTTGCTCACTCCAGTGATGGACATAGATTTGGATGAACTTGCTCGACCCAACTATATAAATATAATATACGATATAAATATATATCTTGGGGGTTGTGTGTGGATTGAATCAGGAAGACCCTGGCCCAAGTAGGACTTTTTTCCCTTCACCAGGGGGTCTACCAATATAAATATGGATGACCCCCAGAGGTCATCCCACGGGGTCAGTCACACTCACAAAACACACATCCGACAATAACACTTGCAATGTTGCAAAGACCCTTTTGCATGCTACTGTACATGTTCCAACGGCAACAAGACCATTTCTTCTCGCCAGGAGCAAAGACCCGCCGCGGGTGCAGTTCCACTTCCTGGGACGCTCCTATCGGCTTCTCTTCTGGCGTTTGCCCGATCAGGCCGTCGACGAGACCACCATTTAGATCGACCTTGAAGAACCTGTTCATGTGGGGGGGGTCATTAATCAAGAGTTTGCATTCCTGGCCAAGCAACATGTCACTTGGCTCTTCCAGCCGTGCTTCCAGTGCCACAGATTGCGCATGGTGTGTGTGTGTGTGTGTGCATGGTGAGTTCCACGATTGATGATGTACTCATTGGATCTGCCCAGTATTGCTTGCCTAGAGTCACCCCTTTCAAACGAATTTCTAAAACCTCCCATGTGTGGCGTCGTTCTTGGTGGAGAATGCAGGTGACCTACTTTGCGGAGGCAGGTGATGGCCTGGAGCAATTGCAAGTCCAGGAGCTCGACCGACCAGTCCAATCACTGGAACTGAACTACACTCCAACTCACTAACATGGAAGTGGAAAACCCACTGTTTGTAAAGGAAAGTAAGGCCATTTTCCACTTCCATGTTAGTGAGTCAGAGTGTAAAACGAATTGGTTCGAGGGAAAAGGGGATGGGCCCTTGACATTCCCTAGGGCTCCAACCACATCCCCAGGTTCGGTAGTTGGGGTGGGTGCCAGGGGGGTCTAACCACCGAACCTGAGGATATGGTTGGAGCCCTTGACATTGTTGTGCTATGGGGATGGGTCCCGTGGAACCCCAAAAAACGTCCACCAGGATTTGCAAGCGAATGAAGTTTTGCCACCAGATAGGTCAACCGGTCGGTATGGTGCCATGACCCCAGATATATGAGGGGACCAAGTGCAGTGAGAAGGTCTTGGGTCTATCATGGTGCTTCTTGACACCAGCCCGCGTTGTTCCTTCTGTGATGAGGACTTGATGAATCGTTTGGTGCCTTTGGCAGCCAATGCCCCGTGGATGGACAGCCATGGTGGGAGGTCCATCGCGTGACTGGGGTATCTATGTTCCCCTCTATCAGAAGATTTAGAAGACCTCATATGATTCTGCAGTATTGAGAGGACTTAGATATGCAGAAGGGGTTCATTTCAGGGTCCATCTTCTCAAAACTTAGTCTTGGATTTTTGTGGAAAGGTGATAGTTGTGCACAAGTTGACAACAAAACACCTGGAAGTATACGGATAACATATATAGATTTAGATAAATAGATAAAACAATTTTGTCTTACAAGTGCCTTCCACGCCAAAATAATACATCGTTTTCGATCTCATCGAACCAAACCTCATCGCCAACTCGTCCAATGATCCAGACCTTTGATGGCGCGTACGAGGCAAACACATATTCACCCACAAACGCTTCCTCAAACTCGAAGGATACTTGTTAGGCGGTGTATATATATATATGACATGTGTATATATATATATATGTATTTGGTCACCCCCTCCTACAGATGATGTGTCTCAAAATAAAACACGCGGTAGGATCAGACTGTGTGCTGAGGCCAACATGTCACTCTTGAAGTACAACCAGCGGCTGCAACTCTCCTTCTCAGAAGCTTGGCTGAAGTACATAAACCCAAGGTCAGGAATTTTGTACCGGTAATTACATCAAACCCTGCTTCAGCCGCGTAGTATTTGCAACTGTTTGCGCATAGCCTTTTTTGAACTACATGTTTGTGCCTGAACCCGTGCAAGTACTGATCCTGAGCCCGGGCACGTCCAGCGAGGAAGGACGAGGGATATGTGTAGTAGACACCCAAACCCTTGAGTTGGTGCGCAGTTCCCGGGCGAGGGATATGTGAGAAGGCTCTGTTCAGTATGACTGGCCGGTCTAAGTACCAGAGGATGTAATGTAGTTGGACCTCTAGGGATGGTATGCTAATCGCAGGCAGTTGTGCGTGTGGCGTGTGACGCGACGTCGTCGCGACATCATGTGTTGCACCTCGCGACGTCATGTGTTGCGCCGAAGTGAGGAGACAAGAACTGAAGTCCAGCTGAAGGTTTGTCCCAAAGATGATATGTGGTGGCTCGGCGAAGCACCGGATAATTGATGCGGCCAGAATATGGATTTAAGATGATTTAAGGGTGCTCCAGTGGAAGCGAGCACAGTTCCTCAGATGGCTTAGATCACACTCCTTCCCAGAGATGCTACTAGACCGTATAGGTTGCTTAGCCTTTTTTTTGCACTTGATGTTGCAGCGGCTTTAAGTGGGCAACCTTGTGATGTTTCCGTTGTGTTATCTCTACATGACAATGTTTGAAGTATTGGCTTCCTTTGATGTTTTCTGAACATCCGGCCGGTGTATCTCCAAATTGTTTGCTTGACAGGGACGCCTCTGGCACCTTTTGTCTCTCCGATGGCTGTGGCTGCATCTCTCGATGGGCGGCGGAATAATGTGCAGCCAAGCTGGGGTTTGAGGAGGTACCCAGCGTCTTCCAAGCGCGATGTGGACCCTTCAAGGGGCCACTTGGTTGGGTCCATGGCATCCTTTGTTTTCTACGCCCAGGTCCCAACATGTTGCAACCCTTTGTACCCTTCGAAAGAGCCACTCCAGAGCAAAACATGTAAACGTTCAAAAACACATACACAGAGGTACTCACAAAAGGAGAGTCAGATTGGAACCATGACTTCAAATCGATGAAGTTTGGACCATCCTTTGAGCAGCGGCAAACATTTTCTGCGTTGTAGGTAGCCATGAGCGAAGGCTTCGGAGTTGGCATTGCTTTGAGAGTCCTGACTGAAGGAAAGCGTTGACACCAAACCCGTTCTCCGCCACGCCAAGGCTGTGGGTGGTGGATGAGGATCAAAAGGTGGATTTGATTGTCCGAAAGTCACAAGAGAAGTATCAGCTCGATGAGTCTCGGCGTAGAAAGTAGCTTGGACAGATGGTGAAGCAATTATACTGTGAAGCATCAACTTGAAAAGACAGAAAGGTGGAATATGTCCAGAACTTCAGCATGAGATTTGACATGTGTTTGTTGTGTTGTTTGGATGCTCAGTTTTGTGTTCACAAAGTTTTGTGTCTCTTTGACCGAGACTTCGAAGTGGCGTTTCTCCCTTGCCGCCCTTGCCACTCAACCCTGGCAGCCCTGGCAGCTCAGGAACCCCAGGATGTGTTCGACTTCGAAGTGCTACGAACCTCCAGCAAGCCGCTGCAAAGCCACTTGGACCGACACTGTTGACACAAGTTGCTGGGTTTGCGCAAGTACTTTCCCACGGGCCCAGGAGGGTTCAAACATGTAATTAGGATACACCGATACACCCCCCCCAATAAGCCAAAACCTGCTGATTTTGCTGCAACAGTTGATTCATGTTGTTGAGTCGCTGCTGAGGGGCAGGGTGCTTCAAATGACCGGGGAAGTATAACATGTCCATAAGTGATAAAGTAAACAGCGCGGGGTACTGCCGGTGTACTAGGACATGGATGAGCCCTGTACACATTCCTGGAATCAGTAAAGCCTGGGAAATCTTGGAAGTGCAATTGACAGGTTGAGCCAAACGTGGAATATTTCCAAAATCTTTTCGTGAACTGGCTGTTGGCCACCTGTAGTGTTTCATGTCAGCAGATCCTCGTTTTTTTGGACATTGTAGTTCACCATAACTGTTCATTCTGCTTATTCTTCCAGGTAAATTAGCACCCAGATGGAGCACCGTCTTCCATGCCATTTCTTGGGGGTGGAGTAACTAGAGGTTGTTTGTGTATGTGGTTTAGCAACCATTGGCGCGATGCATGCAAATGCTTCAATGGCTCCAGTCCGTTCCAGTTCTGGGTCCAGTTTCACTTGCTGCAGGGGAGTCCCTGGCAAGCTTCGGCCCGTCGGTATGCTGCTTTCCGAGGCTATTTGACACCCAACTCCATTCAGGCCTTGGAATGCCTTGGTGCCAAGCTTAGTGCATGGGGACTCAAGAAAGCGTCTCAAGAAAGCGGCGCAGAGTTCACCGATGAGCTGAACATGTTTTGAAGCAGTACGTCCTTCTTGAACATAAGCAGTTTGCTTACACTTTTCTTGAATCCATCGCTCGTTCTGACAAAGCTGTTGTGATGTTTTCTGAACAATCTCAGGTGCACCGCCAGAACTCTTCATGGAGAGGCAGAAGCAGCTGCTGGATACCTTGGAGCAGGTCTTTCACGGAGAGGACGGCACACATATGTGCCAATTCGTACATGTTTCTCAACTCAGTCTTCCCCAGTTTCTTCCCCAGTTCTGAAAGTTCCTTCCGTGAAGAAGTATTCTCGCACCAGCCGTGTTCTTTTTGTGTTGAAAGCCGTTTAAAGCGACGACCTGTCGGCGACGACGCACGACCTGTCGGTGGTTGCATGACGACCGCCAGGAACAGCAGGGCCGTGAAGCCTTGGACGAGATCATGAGCCGAGCTATGCTCAAGCCTGCAGTGGAAACCTGGCAACCTCAAGCGGACGGGACTTGAGCTAGTTCAGCTACAGGTTTTCACCTGGTAATTAGACTATGCCGTCTTAGGCCTCAATTAAACTGCAATTTTTGTAAGCCCCCTGCTGAACCAGCCATTTGGAGGTTTTGGAAGTAGCTCAGTTGTGGATGAATTGGTACAAGCCACGGATGGGCATTCCGGTTAAGCAATGCACTTATGCAGTGCTTCGTAGAGAATGATCATACTTCTGGGTAGGGGGACTCTTGAGAACATGTTGTCATTCTTTGATAGTCGCACCAACCAGTAGTTGGAACGCATACTGCTATATATATATATACATGTTTCAATTTTGGCTTTGCAGGAAGGCTGATGAAGCATGCAAATAGCATTACTTGGAAGCTAAGTTCACGCTGACTCCATTTGGGTGTGTAGACATTGGCACTATAGTTTTTGGTCACTGCACAGATTCTTCCTTTATATATGATTGAATCTCCGATAGGGTGAGTGTGATGGAATCACCACAATGATCATTCGCTCTCCATATGATGCACATCCTTTACAGAACAGTTTAAGTCCGCGAGCTCTTGGGACCAATGTGATACTTTACGCTCGCAAGGGATGCACCCCGATGCACTGACTGTGAAGACGCAAGCTGGTCGGGACCGACCCAGATTAGGAGAAAGCTCTTCGCGACTACTTGGACTTGGAGTTCCCATGGTCGCTTGATCCGCATGTTCTGGTGGACCAACATATATATATATATAATATATATATTTCCGCGTGGTGGACTGAGTCTCTGGCATCAGGCTGTCCGACAGTCCAATCAAAAATACATCTAGACAAGCACCCTTTGGGTGGTGCTGGTAGTGAGTGCTTGTGTTTTTTCTCATGGTAATCAGGTGCTGTGAAACTGCAGACCTCCTCCTTCGCAACGCAAGCAGCGGATGACATATTCCACCAGATGGTTGGTACTAGTTGGACGCGGAGTCTTCTGCAAACACGGTGGAAGTAAGGAAAATGGTGTGTTCTACAGACCAGTGATTGACTTCAGTGTTCATCATCAGGTATGTGTTGGGAGATTTGTTCCGGGACAAGGCCGATTCGGTGTGCATTGTGGAGCTGCAGGGTTTCCATGCTTTCAGACAGAAAACAACCAGGTGGGGACTTTATATCATTACATACGCAGATTACAGATGGTCAATTGTTTATCTGCCAGTGGCGCTGGAAGCAAGATTGGAGGTGGTTAGCTGAAATAGACTTTCTTGGATATCCCAGGGGTCGAGATTGTCTGATCCCATGCACGTGCCATCCGCCCTACAGAGGGGTGAAAAAACATATGACCTTTCCCTGACCTTTGCTCAAGACTGGTTCAATACGCAAGGGACTATGTCGGAAGCAGCGAGACATACCTGTACATAGAAGATGTTAACTCATCAAACACCAAGCTCCCTTACTTACTTGCCACTTGATACTACGCCTGTGTGACTGTTCCATCAGGTTTATTTGGAACCTGGTAATGTAGATCCTTGAGAAATCACCCTCTCTACTTGGATGATCAAGCATATCATTATTCACAAGCATTACAAAACAACAAACAAAGACCCTGGATGATGAAGCACAGTTTCATATAGTTTCTATTTTTGTTGAATGACAAACACATGCAAATTAAACAACACGTCCGCTTATCCGCTTCATCCCTCCTCCGAGGACCCGTCGGTTGTTGCTCGCAAGAACCCGTTGGATGCGGTGGGTTGGCGCTGGGCGCTCGGCACCGAGGAATGAGGTGAACTTCCAAGAGCTGCGACACCGAGCTCCTCCAGCGGCATGCAGTGCTCCGTGTGGGCGAGCGATTGGTGGCGATGATTTGTTCATTGTTTCTTTTGGGGGGGGTTGATGGAAGAGATCTCCATAGATCTCCAAACCAAGTTTCGCATACGACATATTATAGTAAGTTTTTAAAGAAGGGATGAAAATGGATGAAACCTGATAGGATAAAAGTTAAGCAGGTGTACCATCGCTTAAGGTGTTTCAATTCGTCTTTTTGGGGACTTCCCTGAGTTTCACCATATGCCCAACCCAGGCCTGTGCTCAACTGCGGTCCGCAGCCTGTGAGAAGCTGAAGTTGCCCTTGCGCGACGCGCGACGCGCATGGATCGTGGCAGACCATGGGCGTGCCTGGACAGTGCAGAAAAAGGACTGGGCACACACACCGAGTGGTAGATTTCACACGTGTTGTAGGGGCCAAGATCAGGAGGCAAATGGGTCAAAATATGTCAAGTCATTCCTTTTTGCGGGTACCTCAAGTTGAAGAATGGGTCAGATTTTTTCTTCAGTTGCTTTAGCATATTTTAGCGGTTATATAGATGCGGTTAGTATTGCAGGAAACAGTTGCGCCAAATTGACAGGGTGTTCATTCTCAGGAACATATAAGCAGAAGTGTTTATGTGCTTAATATATCCTCAATGACCATCAGTTTCTACTGTTCCAGTGTCGGTGCAGAGTCCAAGAGCCGCTACGATCTTTTGGTACACCATGTCATATCTGTTGCTTTTTCAAACTGGAGTGCCCAAAGACCAAAGCTGGAGCAGGACATCAAGTCAAATGGTCTTGACACGGGTTCCCACTCTTGATGATTCGAAGGCGGTCCAAAAGGAGTGAGTCGTCTTTGAGATGCTTCACAATCCAAGTGGGAAACTCATGCTCACATCGAGATACATGTTTGTTGGTACCAATTGGTACGGCTGTGGCACTGAACCAAACGGCTACCTCATTGATTCTTTTAACATTTTTCAACCTGGTGGCATTTTCAGATTTGCCTGGTCGGCTTCTAGGTGACTTACGCCAAGGGGAATGCTTTTTGCAGCTGCCCCACAGCCAAAAAGTTGATTTGGCAGGCGCAGTTGGCATTTGTGTGAAGATATGTGTGAAGCCTGCAGGGTGGAAGCAAGCGAAGGTATTTTGTTCTTCAGCCTAAAGCTCGCACGTGCGAGGAGTTTCTCACATTGGAAAAAGCATTTGACGCACTTGACTTAATGGAATATCATCAAGGTCTAATTGAGATTAATTAGATCAATTTAAGTATCTTCTAATCCGAATTGGTCGCTTTCAGAATGAGTCCATGCATACGGGAATCTGAGCCCTGTTTATTGGCTGCAGGGAAGGAGGTGCTTTTGATCAGAGCCCCATGCTATCATAGCAGCTCCGTTCTGAAGCTGCGCATCCCCGAGAAAGCTCCGCCGCGCGATCAAGCGGCAAGTTATGGATGGGTGATGTGCACACAAACAAATCAGTGTGGACGTATTATAAACACTGTATACTTGTACATATTAACACACATACACATTCTACGGTGACTTGCGTGTGGACATGTTCTACAGTAAGTAGAAGGTCTCAGAGTCTCATTGAAGTGCCCTTTGACTGACCAATGAAGTGTATGGATCCAGTGACTGCCTGAGATCATTGTGTTTTTTGTTTGGTTTGGTTGCCTTGATTTCAATTAATACTTGTTTCCTTGGAAACTGTTTTGACATGTCCATCTCCATGGTGCAATCGCAATCAACTTGGCTGATTCACTGCTGTTATCCGATAAGGACTTCAGCACCTCTACAATGTGGTGGTCTTGAACGCCTGGGAAGATCGAGGCAACACCGATGCCGAAGACCCGGGCCCGGGGGGCGCCGGCAGATGCTGAAGTCATGGGCGGCGATCACGACGGCGACACGGTGCTCCTGAGACCTGGCCGAGACCGATCGTTATGGACGATGGACGATCTTACAGCTGATCAAATCACATCTGTTCTTAGGTCGTCAATTCCAGCCCAGATTGAACCATCTTGGTCTGCTAAATAGACTGTTTTGGAACATGGAATGTTCTTTCACAGTGACTTTGAACAAAAACACCTGAACGGACAGCTTCGGACAGCCGTTGGGATCCACCGTTTCGACACGGCAGTTGGAGCCATTGGACACCGCTCAGGATTTGGGACGCCGACTTCGTCGCCGCGGTGGCGACCACCGAGTCCTGCGTGCGGGAGGCGGAGACGGAGACGCTTGGAGAGCGAGGCGGAGACGCCGAGAGGTCGCTGGTGTAATCCTCCATGTTCGGAAGACAAGATGGGTCGAGGGGTCGAGGGGTAAGCGATGGGTCGAGTCATATTGCTGTTAACCTGTCTTGTGGAATTTATAGTATGTGGATGATGCAGGATGATGCTGTTGACATCAAATGTGTTGCTCAAGAGAAGGAACCAAGAACACAGAAGGTGGCTTCGATCTACGAAAGCACAAGAAAGACAACGTCCCAAAGCCACACTGTGCAGCTGTGTTCCTGTGCGCACGTCCAAAACCAAGGCAGCGCACTTTGCAGAAGGTCGGTGAAGTGGAGCCAGAGAGACTGCCAGGACTGAGCCAATGTTGGACAGAGTGCCGGTGCCGAACGGCTCCTGCTGTTGTTGCCAAAAACATTTCCAAAGACTGTATTCGGGATTTGAGGCAAGTTTTGATGGTGGGTTTTTCTGTTGTTGGTCTAAGCAAGCGGAAAGACATCTATAATAGTCAAACCCATCATTCCATATCATTCCATATCATTCCCATCAGGTTCTGATTTCTACGGGAACCTGGCCTCCCAGGACTCGGATTTGAGGATGGATCAAGTAGACTCAGACCTAGCCAACAGACACGAGAACACATGAAACATCCCCTCAAATACATGCATGTCCTTCATCCGCACATAGGATTGGCGGCCAGGCGTTGCCCTAGGACCAGGACCAAACATTGGTATTGGGCTCAGCTGGCATTCCCTAGGGCCCTAGGGATCCAAGTACCTTCTCAGAAAGTGATTGGAGACACTGTCATGTAGGTTTCGAGGGTCCCAATACCTTCTGAGAAGGTACTTGGATCCCCAGGGATTATGGCTTGAGCGAATGCTTTTTAGAGGGTGCCAGGACAAACCATTTGTTGGAATTTTGAGCGTGATCAGCCCAAAAGTACCACTCATGCACACTTTGGTGGGTGATCCTTTTAGAGGTTTGTCCTTTTACCAATGGTACCTGATCATGTGCCAAAAGGCCCCTTTCAACAAGCTTTTGTCCGATCCAACGTCGCGCGAGGATGCTTGGCGTTTGAGCTGCCTCTCACGGCCAAGGCTCATCAGGAGTTCTGCTTGGTCGACAAGAAGAGGAGGTGCCACGCACGTCAGCAACATAGTCAGTATTGAGTTGATATGTGAGATCCTAAGAAATGTACAGATCAACTGCTAAGATACTGGGTAGCTGGACAATCAGCCTCGGCAAGGCTTAAGGCAAGAGCCTTGTTTTGCACTGCTGCACCCCGGATGAGAGCAGGATCTTCTCAGAATGAGTTGTGTGTTGCCAGGGATTGGGCAGACCAAGATGGCTTCGGGGAAAACGCTCCGGCTACGCGCTTGGCATCAATATGAAGCTTGGCGTCAAAAAGTGAGTTCAAAGGCCCTGAATCTCGAGTAAACTTCAAAGGAGACAAATTGTACCAGTTCATCAACTCATATAGGAATTCTACTACGTCCTGTGGCCCCAATTTGATGCGTTATACTGGTTTCCCTTGCCTGTTCCATCCTTCTATGTGGCGTCCAGGCAAAGCGGGTGTGGATTGCGCCTCCAATGGCCGCACCATCGTCCTGCCTGAGGCGCGGGTTCTCAGGGGTATTCTTAGGTAAGGACATCTTTTTTCCAGATGTGATTTGTAGTTGTTTTTGTTAATCCGCAGCCACGCAACTATATTTTAAAATTCCCGTCACATTTCAAGAGATTTCATTGCCTTCAAGTACGACCATGTTCCGTTAGGGTTGTCAAGTCGCCTGTTTGGAAAGGGCATAAACTGCAGTAAATGTATAACATGGTGGAATTGAGCGTTCGATCCTGAAATCATGCAACATCGGTTGGGTAATTTTCCTGCTGGGGATTTGGCTCTTCTCGTCACATTAGGTCCACCACACGCCAACTACCAGCAAGTCTACAGACACCTCCAGAGAGGTTGTTGGAGTGTCTTTGATATTTTTGATACCTGGTTCCCTGGTTTTCTGGGCTTACTATGGTACTGCAGAGCGCTAAGACTCCAAAGCCTTTGGACATATGGACATATATCGCCATCCATTCGAAAGGGAAATCAATGACTCTCATTTGGTCACATATCACTGTGTTTTCTTGCATATTGTATACTTAGGATACTTTAAAGTTACTTATTGTTATTGATATTAAATGATACTCTATATCTATATTATGATATGATGAGATCCTTTGATCCTTTGTGTGTTTCTTCACCCTTTCAACAAGCAACTGCTCAGCCGCTCACCACGGATGTCTCCGCAGCAGCTCAGCTCTCCGCCTCACCGCTTCACTGCCAGGATCTCAAGGACGTGGAGCGTCCCGACTGGTCGGACCACGGCTCCAAGCGCAGCCGCACCTCCCAGAGAGCCTGCGGACAGCTCTTCCGGAGCCAACGGAAGTTTCCCAGCTGCGAGGAGGTGCCGAAGACGGAAGGTTCTGAGGTTGGCCAATTTTCTCGCTTTGGATGGATGTTTGGGTTCGATGGAATGGATGAAGGTGCAAGCATAGGTCTTGGGGGAAGCATGGCCAGAAATTTGCGGTCAAGTGCAGGAAGTTCGATTTCTAGTTGCAGGGTCCTTGGCTCCGCAGCCAGATCCAGAACCCACAAGGTATATACTGCCAGTTGTTGAAGTCGAGACGTGTTTTTTTTCAAATAGCAGATAGAAGGTGATGAGCAAACCAGGAAGTCGATACACTATAGCGTTTCCTTGCAGGATAGAGTGTGTTGGAAGATGTTTTCTAAATGCATGGTTTTATTCAATGGGCTTGTTTTACTCAGCGTTGACAGTGTTTTGATTGCACAAGACCTACCGCAAGGAAGTTGGCAGGCAACCCATAGGTTGTTTCTAGAGGTTTCTATAGGCAGCCCATAGGTTCCCCTTCATCTTGGGATTGTGGGTCTCATATGTCCAACCCTCCAAGGGCTTATAGGGCCAACCCTCGGAAGCAGGGTCCTCGTGGAAACCTGGCTTCCGCTGTGAAGCGGGCACACTAACATGTGGGTCAGAATCGGGGTGCCATGGGGATTGGATCACGGCAACCCATAGATAACCTTTGAACACATCAACATGTAGAAGGTCGAATCGCAATGGAATAGTGTAGGTTTAGAAACAATCTAGGAGAAAAAGTGCTTGTTTCGAAGCGGTGTGCCATTTTGTCCAATTGGGGCAAGTTCTTACATTCGTGGGGTAAGCGGTGTGCCATGGGGGTGGGTCAAGTTCATGTGTGATGGGGTAAGTTACCACGTCGGGTAGCTCTCCAAATTGCATTGCCATTGGGATTTGCAGTTGAAGTTTTCTCTTTTTGGAAAGGTGAATCTGGAGAACCTTGTTCTGTATGTAGCGTTTACAATGGGGAAGGCCAGCAGTCTTGACTTAAGTACTGACTTTTGCAAATCGGCGTTCCATGGTGGTTTAGTATCCCACATGCAAAATGTATTAACTTCAACGGGCACCAGTAACGGGTGCTCCCAAGCTAGAAGTTAGCTCAAAGGGAATATCATGGAATATCAAGTCAATAAGAACCACATACCATGTTCTATGAATGGCCTTTCGGGCTGAAGATCCTCGCACACTGCCAGCCTCTAATCAACTCTATATAATCCCCATGTTTTTTTCTCCTGAGAGAGGTACTTGCGCCCAAACGGATCTACCTGCCGCCCGAACCCTGCCCGACTGCCTTGACCAAACGCGCCATGCCGAACGTGCAGGCAGAGTTCCTCTCGGCAGATCAGCTGGACTTGGCTGCGTGGAGCTTTGTGCAGCTCAAGGAGGCTGTGTTGGCGGTGGTGAAACTGTGCCTAGGTGATCAAAGGGCTCAAGATGCTTCAGGATGCTTAGGCTTCAAACTGAGTAGTCCAAAAGCAGAGTTGAGAGTCGAGGGACGTGTTGAGAGTGGAAAGGGTGTGTTTGATAGTTTTCAAGTTTTTGTTTTTTCTGTTTAGTTTATTTTGTTGGGGGGTCTAAATAGGCTTGGCAAGAGACTCGGGTATGGACATTTGTTGATTAAGAATGAAGATGTGTTGTTCACAGTAGAGATGGTTGGGTGGTTGGATGGGTGATTTTTTGACTGGCTGTTTGATTCTTTCGTTGGGTTCATAGTTGGTTGATTTGGCGGAGTGTTTTCCAGATTACTCTGAACTGCTGCTGCATGTCCTTGTGCGACTAGGTCGGATGAGTTCTATGAGCAGAAGCAGCGCATACAGAAGCTCCGATGCACAAAAGCGTTGCAACCATGGTTCCGCGCCATGTTGGTGTAGCCAAGCAAAGGATTAACAACAAAACATACACAAAAATACACAAAACATATCTACCATCCATGATCTGTACCTAACAATTCCTCCTACTGTCCTGGAACATTCTCGTGGATGTTGTTGTTGCCTGTTGATCTTCAGAATTCAGAACTTTTCTACCGGTACCGCAAGCTCCTAGAACCCAATCGCTACATTGGGATATCAATCAAACCGAAGCTATTATAAACTTTCACCAAAAGATCTGCAAACAACTGCAACACTCATGCAAGACCACGCAGACGCCCACAAATGGAGAAGAGTCGTAGACTTCGGAGAAGATTCAT